TGCAGAGAAGCTGCTATTGACAAACCCCGAGCCCTGAAAGGAGATACAGAAACCCTAAACGAAAAGAATGGTTGGGAAACTTTAAACCCCAAAAGGAGATGTTCGTTGACCCACAGCCTGCAAAGAAGCTGCTGTTGACAAACTCCGAACGCTAAAAGGAGATGCTGAAACCCTAAAACAAAAGAGCTGGATGGAAAACCCAAACCCTAAAAGAAAATGCTGGCTGATCCAACCCAAGTCCTGCAGAGAAGCTGCTATTGACAAACCCCGAGCCCTGAAAGGAGATACAGAAACCCTAAACGAAAAGAATGGTTGGGAAACTTCAAACCCTAAAAGGAGATGTTGGTTGACCCACAGCCTGCAAAGAAGCTGCTCGGCAAACCGTGCTGCTGCTGCTGTTGTTGTTGCTGTTGTTGTTGTTGCTGCTGACACTGCTGGTGTTGCTGTTGTTGGTGGTGGTGGTGGTGGTGCTGCTGCTGCTGTTGTTGTTATTGTTGCTGGAGGTGGTGATGCTGATGCTGTTGTTGGTGGTGGTGGTGGTTCTGCTGCTGCTGCTGCTGCTGCTGCTGTGGCTGCTGCTGTTGCTCCTGCTGTTTTTGTTGTTGTTGTTGTTGCTGTTGCTGTTGTTGCTGTTGCTATTGCTGCTGTTGTTGTTGCTGTTGATGCTGTTGTAGTTATTCTAGTTGTCGTCGTCGTTTAAGAGGCTGCTGCTGTTGCTGCTGCTGCTGTTGTTGTTGTTGTTGTTGTTGTTATTCGCGGGCCGCGTGGCCAGGCCGCGCGGCCGTTATAATACTATTGCGCCTACATCAGTTACTTTAATTTGTTCTTCCTCAGAAAATGTCAGGCCTATAATTATGATGAAGTGCATTTAACACGGCATACTAGAGCTGTGTGATCCCAAGCAAACAGAGAGACGTGAGATTGTGGTACTTCCCCTCATTTTGCCACGAAGATAAACAGAAGCCGTTCTTTAATTTCGAACGCAACAAGTTGACAAGAGCGCAAACATGTCTTTGTGCGATGACACTGGTCATGTTGTTTGTCCTCTCTGCCGGCCTTTGGTAGTTCCTCCTTCCTTACTCCTGATTGCTTCTTGCACTGCTCTCTGTCTGTCCTTCCTTCCTTCCTTCCTTCCTTCCTTCCTTCCTTCCTTCCTTCCTTCCATACTTCTTTTCTCTCTTGGCTTGTGCATTGGAGAAGAACCGGAGATAGAGCACATGCTGGGCAGGCTCACAAGCTGTCTCATGCAAGGGGCAAGCGTATCCAAGTGTGCTTTCTGCTCTCTGTAGCCTCTGGCTTGTTCCCGATTCAATCTGCCTTGGTGCTCTGCCGTCCATGCTACCTCCACAGTCTCTCGAGCTAGATGTTAAATCTCTCTAAAGCATGGTTTCTCTATCCCTGCAACCTGACGGCGTTCACGCTCCTCGAAATTTAAAACGAATCAAAGCCACATCCCAGGCGGTGACACGCCCATGTGGGGCCACGAGGGCACAGAGCAGCCAGGTTTTGCCACCGCGACCGGCGCAATAGTCCAGAACCGTCTCCCCGGGACGGGCCTGCCACGGAACAAACCCTGGTATATCATACTATATCATAGTATATTATAGTATACTGAAGTATGTTATGGTATATTACAGAACACCATAGTATATCATCGTATATTGTGGTAATTTATGGTATATTAAAGTATATTACAGTATATTGTACTGTATTATAGTATATTGTAGTATAGTGTAATATTATAATATAGTACATCATAGTTTGCTACAGTATAATATGGTATATTAAAGTACGATATAGTATATCACAGTATAATATTAATGCTGAAGTATATATAGTATACTACCGTATATCATAGTATATCATAGCATATTATAGTATATCATAGTATACTGAAGTATATGGTAGTATATCACAGTATATCTTAGTATATCATAGCATATTATAGCAGATCATGGTATACTGAAGTACATAACAGTATATTAAAGTATATCTTATCATAGCATACTAAAGTATATCATAATATGCTGAAGTACATAATAGTATATGACATTATATCATAGCATATTAAAGTATATTAGAATATATCTTGTAGAATACTGTGGTATATACAATATGTTATAGTATGTTGTACTATGATATAGTTTTGGTAAAGTATATGATAGTATATTACTGCATATTATGGTATATTACAGTATACTGCATACTGCACTGCAAACTGCACACCCCTCAGACTCGATGCGTGGCTGAAACAACACTGGCAATCCAGTGCACGCTCGCTTCGGGCCTGGCCTCTGTAGCGAGAGCTAAGATTTGGGAGCCCTCGTCCTGAACCTCGAAAAGGCCCTGGCTGTAGCCCGGAAGCTGCCAAACGCCCCCACAGGGTGGCCTGCCGTCCTGAGACTCTTTGATTCAAGCCTGTGGAAGGTAGGTCTTGAGGATTCCGATTGCAGTCGCAACAGGATCGGCCCAGAGTTCCTCTACTTTTTGCAGTTGGTTGCAATTTCTCCCGAACTCTTCCCTGAACGACACAGAAGAATCAGTCAGAAGCCTTAAGACTTCCAACGGAGTCTTGCGAGCAGCTTGTCAAAGGGCGGAACTGTCACGTCTGTTTTCAATAAAAAGCTATAGACTCTAGACCAGCTTCCGGGAGCCACAGGCCAAAACGGCTCTCCGCTGTTGGGATGCTGCGGACCCCATGCTCTGAAAGCAGCTGCATAAGCTCCAATCGGGTCGTCCGGAGGGTGTTGACGCGAAGCCTTGGCAATCAAGAATTTGCTGCAAGCTGCAAATCGACGCTGGCTCGGGTGTTTACTTGGTTGAAAGGTCGGAACAAAAACTCTACCAATTTCTCTGTGGGCACGTGATCCTCGCAGGCTGGCACATGGAGCGGCCAAGCTGGAAAGCTGACAGAGGCCCTAGGTGTTGCAGCCAGCGCTCTGCCATCCACCTCCAAATCGCTGTTGGACCAACAAGTCGCAAACGGGGCATCTGCAGCAAAAATCACCCCGTATCTTCACCACCGAGCCACAAAGGCAAGGACCAAGCAACAGACAAGCGCTTGGCCAGGGTGGCAGAGTCATCCGGACCAAACCTTACTGTTGTGATTCGTGATGGTTGTCATGGTAGTCTTGACTGTGCCTGCCTTCACCTCATGCATAGCTCCGTCGCCGACGATGCCAGATCTGTCGAACCCAAGGCTAGCAACGTACGATAGCCCAATCAACGGCAGCTAAACACAACGGAACGAAGCCCAGCCGGCAGTGATGCAGCAAAAGATGACCTGGCGCACGCAGACGAGGAGCAGCGGTCGACTGCACGCATCGGCCAAGACTTGCCGCCACTCCGTCTTCTGGGATGCGGCCAAAGCGAAAGAGGGATGCTCCATCTCCTTCCGATGGCCCCGACAACACATTCAAGGTGCCTGACAATCTCGCGATTTGGCAATGCACTTTTGATCTTTGAATGCCTACCTGGCGACCTCCAGCACACGAGGCAGCTCTCGTGCCACGAAGAGTTCAAGAAGCAGCTCGGCGTCGCAGTCGTGACCGGGTGCAACTTCCTGCAGCAGGTGAGAAAGACGCCCACGAGCCACAGCCACGCCAAGAACCTGAGAAGGACTTGTTTGTAATACTTTGCAATGGATTCTGATGACAAGATGCGCCAGGATGGTCGGACAGAGATTCGCATAAGTCGACAGCGTGAGAAAATCTAAGGCCCAGGAAGCTCCAACGCAAGCACGATAGTTACGAGCGTACGGAAAACCCTTTGATCTCAGCCTGAGATCCAACATGTTGGCTTGCCTGATCTTCTGTGAACATAGATGCACCACTCTCTACCGGTCCGACTTAGTAGCAGGCCCTTACATCAATTCAAGCACGAAGCGCGCCGTGCCACAGCCGAACGCGTCGTTTGGCACAGCTTGGCGTGTCGGATGCGCATGGCCTTCCGAAGCGCCTTCTCCTGAGCTGCAGCTTCTCGGAGTTTTCGGGAGTGCTCCGATTGTCACTGGGGAAGGCCTTTTTCAAGACGAAAATTGCTCTCGAAAGTCATCTACAACGCATCATGGTCATCATCGTCCTCAGCATCATCATTCTCATCATCACGAGGTGGCGCAAACAGGTAGCTCAACGCCGCGGCACCCGGGGTTCACATACTGAGCTCTTTCGCCTCATTCGCTTTTCCTAGGATGCCGACTCTGAACTTTCCCCCATTCCGCTCAGGACGCTTGCACTTCAGCGAGCGAATGCTGATGTCGAATGCTGCAGGCAAGTATCAATAGCCTCACCTCTCGGGGTGGGAACGTCTGGGGTGTCGCCAGAGTTTTCTCACCCAGGAGTGTACAGTAGCGGTTGTGGCAGCTGTGCTGCAAGATGCTACAAGTCTATGTTGGATGCTTCGCTCTCGTCGTGCGTTGGGCGTCGACAGAGAAGCTGAGATCGGTTTGATCAAAAGTGATTCTGCCACGAGCGCTCCAGCCAAGTCTCGACATCGCTGCCAGGAGAAGCCAGCCAAGCTCTCAAAGCTTCCAGGGACACGTCTCGGACGAGAATCGCCTCGGAACTTCGCCTACTGCCGGGAAAGCTTGCAAGGCCTTCAGTGCAAGCCGCACGCCTTCGCTTGCCAGAGGGCCTGAGGGTCGCCGTTCTCCCGCTGCGGGCCACCTGGACCTAGCATCCGTCGACAATCTTTCGGAGATATTTGGCCTACAACATCAGACGACCGGCAGAGGGTCATGCGAACGCTTCTCGATCTCTATGTACGCTCATAGGTGTATGCCTGTGTGCTGGAATCTTAGTCAAGTTCCTCTGAAAATTTCAACTTGGAGAATCTCACTCTTCACTCTTGACCTGGGTCTGCGAAAGATAAGCCGGCACCGCAGCACCAGCATTCGTTTGGCTTGGTTCCTCGCCCGAGTGGCAAATCAGCCCGGATTTGTAGCTGAAGTCTGTCGGCTTCCCTGATCTGTGTCAGCATCCCATCTGTCTCATACGACGCCCTACGTTTTGGCACAGTTGTAGCAAGTCCCTAAGCGAATGTAGAATCAACGGGCAAACAGTCGACAGTGTTGCAGATGTCTAATTAAGTTCTGCATGGATGCTTAGCCCTTACCGTGCCTGCTTTGCTGTTGCGAAAACAATTCAAGCGACTGTCGCGGCTCGCGGCTTCGTAGCTAGAGGAGGCTATAAACCATCATGCGGGACCTGACCCGAAATTGAGGCGCGGAGCTGCTTCCGGCAGAGGATTCGTTCACAGCACTGCTTGGATATGCCATCACTGTGGCTCATGGCCCACAGCTTCTGTTAAAGGCAAAAGCCTGACGGGCAGAGTTGCAGAGTTTGGGTATCAGGAACCTGGAACCATCCACGGCCTTGAACCTTTGACGGAGCATGAGGGTCCTGCTACTCATAGCCGACTCTGCGTGTGATGCTTGGAAACGCGATTAGAACATATCTGCCTGCTGCTGTGTTGGAGCACCTCGCTCCCAAAAACCGTTGAAAACACGGCTTGAGCCGATGATGCAGTACGTGAGAAACCAAACCATATCCCAGGGCTGTGTGGAATTGTTGGTTGACTCTGGCAGCTAGCAGTTCGGAGCGTACGCAGAACCAATGAGTCTTCTGCACCCGTGGCATATCTATCTCACACCAGCAAGCCTCAAAGAAGACCTTGCGTTGTGGGTCTCGACAGCAGGTGCTCGGAGCTTTGCAAAATGCCTGGGCAGGCAAATGAGCAGCGAAGGCTGGCGAAGATTGATGCAACGGAAGAAAGAAACAAGAGGATGGCACCACGAAGAGAAGACCTCGTGGTATCGGGATGAGGTGTATAAGTCTGGATCTCTTCATCTCCAGGTCGGAGCTCAGCGGACTTATGATACTTTGACTGATGGACTAGTTTATGATCGATGCTGGCAGACGATGAATTTGAACATACTGGAAGTGGAGTGCTTGGCAGACTTCCCGAAACAAGTCTGATACTTGTCGCCTCTCGGGGTTCTCGGTTTGCGGCTTAATTCTGCCACGAGTTGGCATGTCACTATAACCGTGGCCAGGGTCTGCTAAAAACCGAGCTCAAGCTACCTGCGACCTCTTTTGAGAGGTCCGGAAAGTTTTGCCCTTGCGACACGCGCCCCTGCCTGGGACGTCAGAGCAACGGCCCACGGACACGGAAAGCGGCTCCTGCTCTCATCGTGAACAGCTAGGCATGCTGCTTTTCGTGATGGTGCTGATGATGATGAGGAAGAAGAAGATGATGATGCTGTTGTTGTTGACGACGACGATGATGACGATGTGCGACTACGAGGCTTTGCCAGCCGCTATCCGTGTCAATCCTGCTCTTCACTGTTGTTCCATCACCATCAGCACCACCGCCGTCACCATTCTCATCATCCTGCTTGTGCCAGGACGTTTGCGTCGAAGGATGACGGCCCTTGCAGTGAGCATATTGTGAGATTCGGTGGAGCGGGCATGCGCAGGCTCATGCTGACATGGTGAAGCCGGGACGAGTAAAAAAGTCATGCGTGTCGACTTCGGAGACGAAAGGAAACTGGCCTTCCAGCGAGCCAAAATGCTGACTCCGACGGCTGTGTCCAAGCTTGATGCCGTGAGTAGACTCTAGACCAAGTTAAAACCGGATTGCAGGATCGAACAGAAGCACACGAGTGTCGATCTCTCAACATTGATCTGCAACCCAGACCTCATCCTGCCATAACTATCATTCGTCTCCAACTGCCCCCCCGTCCCGCGCCTGTAGCCACCTCCTGGGGCTTGGTGCCTTGCGCTCACTGCGCCGGGGGTCCCGAGGAGTGGGCGCGGATGCCACCTTGTAAACAGCAGAGAGAAGTTGACCCTTTCTGCTTGGCCGGTTTCCAAACAAACCCATTCTGTAGCAATATCAGATGTTACACGCATTTTCACACACCACGGTGCTGCAGTGTCAGGCATGGTGGCAGCAGTGGTAGTGGTGGGGCGTGTAGCAGTATAGTTGTTCTAGTAGTGGCAGTAGTAGCAGCAGCAGCAACAGCAGGAGCAGGAGCAGGAGCAGGAGCGTAGCGGTAGCCGCAGCAGTAGCAGGCAGTAGCAGTAGTAGGAGTAGTAGGAGTAATAGGAGTAGTAGGAGTAGTAGGAGTAATAGGAGACGTAGGAGGAGGAGGAGGACGAGGAGTAGGAGTAGTAGAAGCAGCAGCAGCTGCAGCAGCAGGAGCAGTAGGAGTAGCAGTAGTAGTATTAAAATTAGTACTAGTACTAGGAGCAGCAGCAGCAGCAGCAGCA